GATCATTAAAATTATGTTTGTAGGTGATGTTTTTAACATTATATCAAAAATATTTTAATGGCAAATAATTATATTAAATTGTTGTTGTTGCAAAATCAATTCATATCGGTTGGTTTCATGAGTGTCAGATAATTACATAATATTCACCAAATTTGTTTTTTTTTTATTTAATTTTTGTACTTAATATAGTAATACATTATTTACAAAGCAAAGTTGGTTCAGTGGTAAGCGTGCTAGGTACTGATGCAACACTGTTCTAGGGGTGTTGAGTTCGATTTCCGGTGAATGCAAATTTTTTCAAAAACTTTTTTCATCGGAAAAAGTTCCTATGAAACCCCAGCTGTTTCAAGGCGGGTTTTTCCATGAAACTTTTCTTTAGAGTGATTCCAGGGTTTTTCCCTGCCCCACATGTCTTCGGGCCTAGGTAAATACGAAACGGTATTAGGGCTATACTATTTAGGTAGGGATTAGTAGATCCGATGCCAGGCGCCAGGCAGGGATCGCCAGCCCTACCAGCGAGGAGTGATCCCTGAAATATGGGGCTTCTTTAGAGATGCTAATTAGCCAATCTGATGCTTTGACAGAGAGCGCAACTTAACCGGCGAGAAGTAAATGGTCCTAAGATATGAAGTCCTCCGGAAAAGGCTACACACTGGCGAGTAGACCTCACTACTAGTGCAGACAGTGTCAGCTTAACTGGCAAGGTGTTTCACTGGAGATTTTTCCACTGTGTCCACAGTACAATTGGTATAAATTTAAATCTGTGAATTAATAAGTAAATAAATATAAATTAACACATATGTATGTAAATTAATGAATTAATTCAATGATATTAAATTAAAGCTTTAGTCAGTTTTCTTTGTGGAATATCGCGTTCTCTTCTATTCAAACGATCTGTGCAACGGAGTACGCTTTTCCTTTGATTCCCTCTTTAGCGTCCAACAAAAATAGCCATCATGTTTACATCCCATCGAATCTGATACCGAGTTTCCATGACCTTAATATCTTGGTAAAATCGTTCTCCCTGTTCTTCACTTAAGTCCTTAAGGTTATAAGGAAATTTATCAAGGTGTGAATTAAGAAAATGTAGTTTCAAATTCATTTTACATTGAAGCTTCTGAAAGTCAAAAATCATTTCATCAACTAATTATTCGTAATAAGGGCTTTTTTGTTTGCCAAGAAAATTTTGGGCAACTGCTTTAAGACTGCCAAGCATTATTTTCTTTCTGATTCATCGTACTAATAAAAGCAATAACTCGGAACATCATCCTGATCTGAGGGCCATCAAAAACCCCTTCCTTTATTTTTGCCTCCGACAACTTAGGAAATTTAGTAACGAGGTATTTGAAGTAGGCTCCAGATTTATCAAGCGCTTTAACGTACTGCTTCATTAGACCTAGCTTGATGTGAAGGGGTGGAATAAGAATTTTGCTTGGATCAACTAACGATTTGTTAGTGACATTCCGGGAACCAAGTGTAAATGATGATCTGATAGGCCAATTATTTTCACATAATGATTTTCACGAGCACGACTGTCTTATAAGCATAAGTAACATGGAAATTTCGTAAATCCTGACTGTTGCACAAGTAAAATAGTGCTAATCTTAAGATCACCTCAAAGTTGCCATCTATGAGTCTCGTAATTAATTTTTTGCAGTAGAATGTCCATGTTCTCATATTTTTTCTCCGTAACAATGGAATAGACAATGGGAACTGGAGAATAAATGCTTGTATTGTGTAGCAAAACTGCCTTTATACTTCTCTTCGATGAGTCCACGAAAAGTCTTCAATCTTTGGCATCATAAAAATTTGGTTTCAGTTCGTTAATGAGACCTTTTATGCCTGTAAAACAAACAAGCGAATGATCCTTATCCTATAAAAAATACTGTCAAAATTGTTTCTCGCTATTTCTATAAAAAGAAACTTTTGTGTTTCGCTCCAACATATTATACTCTTTAAGGAACGATGCTAAAAATTCTGAACCATCTTTTGCTAATCCTCAATTCCGTGTAAGATCGCTTAACACAGGTTGCGATATTAATTTTGGTTTTTTGGAGCTTAAGCCATGATCTATTTCACTATCCGTCTCATCACTCATCTTAGATGCCGATTCTGCATCCATATCTATTTTTTCATCAACTTCCATCATATCAGCAATTATCTCGTGTGGATGCACATCACAACTACGGCTGTATCTGACTGTAGCTGGTACTGGAGCTATAACAGATAAAACATAAAAGTATACAGTTTTTTTTTTTTTTTTTTTACTATTATACCCTTGAATATTATTGCAACAATAAAAACCGTTAAAAGTACTTAAAGGGCATTTCTATATCGTTGGAACAGACAACGGGATTTTCTATTTTTTTTTCTTTTTTTCATCTGCCAAACATTTTTCGACAACAGTTACATATGATGTTGGGAGCCCAGCATTCAATTTCTGACTCGTCCATATATAAATTAAGAATATCTTTGTAAGTCTCTCGAATATCATCATCGATGACTTTCCGTGAAGAAGTTACTTCAAACTTTGAACATACATGACAGAACACATTGTGCTCCGACTCACAGTTGTGTTCTGTCAAGATAATTTCTTTTTTCTTGTAGTCCTAAGCTCTACATTGGCCGAGTCACCAACCAACGTAGAGCTGCGATCGTATGATGACGACGTATGTGGGCCCACTTTTTCACCCTGACCAGCCGCCGATACTGAGGATCCGACCCTCTGCATCGTAAAACGTTTGCGTGCGTCTACCATGACGGAGTACCAGCCGTGATCTAGGGACTTTGCTAGATAACGGGCATGCTCCGTTGCCCCCTATCACTGCGAGGAGATGCCCTGGATGCAGACGCATGGGAGAGTATACCGAAAGAAATCGTGAGATTCCAGAACTACAATTTTATGTGAATATGCCTTAATTCAACGTAATGTATAACGTATGTATAATGTTCGGCAGATAGAGGATATTTAAGTGTTTTTTGAGGTTATGTCAAAAACGTGAAATGCTGGGGTGAAATTGACGACGGATTTGGATTCAGCGACCCCGAAAACAAAGAGTATACGTAGACAGACCCCCAGGCAAAAAATTTTTTTTTTTTGTGTGGCTGTGTAATATTAATGTACAATCAAACATATACACAACGATGCTTTAGCCAATCATAGCGGTGAATTGGTATGAAAATGTGAAAGGGGGAATGTATGGTGGCCTGCCCGGAAAGTCTCTCTAGTTCAGGTGAAGGTGGAGGGGGTACCCCCTGCTATAGTAAGTTTATGGCAGCACAGTGGCTCCGTTCGGAAACCCTCAACAAACGGTGACAGTTTGTTGTGACGGAAAACTGTGTCGAAATAAACACATACAATATTATATTTGTTTACAACTACATGTAATAGTACATTAAAAGCAGGCTAGAGTTGTCAGAGTCTTAATAACCAAGTTTAAGATTGAACTAGTAAATACGAGGTCTGTCCGAAAAGTATCGGGCCTACCTCTATAACTTCACACCATAGTATTCTAGTGACATCT